CGTGAGATGCTGTAGGCACAGCATCCATGCGTTTGTAATTCACCCCTAGCAGAGCCAGTGCTGTTTCGAGTTCAGCTGGACAAATGCATTTGCAATGTGAGACAATTTGATGCTGGCAGGAGATCATCAAAACGGCCAAACAGCAATGTTTGTCAGTGGCTCCAAAATTCCCATGAAAAAGAAAAAGAAATTGCCTGGCAAAAACACTGACTCTGGAAGATGGCACGTTTCCAGCCTCTCAGCATCGGCACACCGCAGTGCTGCAGCGGAATTCAGGGAGGCTGAACGTGCAGCTGGGGACATGTAAATCTGCACGGCAGCAGTTTGGCCGAATGTCCAAGACATATGGCTCTAACACCAGGCAGCGATTCACCACGGTCCGGCCAGGCAGGCGGACTACATTGCATTCCTCCAAACTGGTTTCTCCTGTGCTGCCTTCTTTTCTGGTTTTTTCCTTTCTCCCCTTCGTAATGACACGAGGCATGATTCACAGTATTTTCCAGCTACTGAAGCGTTTGCTGACCAATTTAGCTAGCAAACAAGTAGCAGGTAAAATGCCACAGATGAAACGCTACGGTGGGCCAGTGTAAGGCTTTTTGGCCACCAAAGGATGCAAACCAGCACATTTTGCTAGTCGTTCCTCCCCAGACCTAGCAGTCTCTTCGGCTTTAACCTTCTGGCTTCACGCAGATAATTTAAGCTCACAAGTTAGGAGACATCCCTGTGATCTAATATTAGATGATAAGCTTGTTTATGTTTTTGTTGCTAAGAGAAAGCTGGAGCTTTGGAAACACTGAAGCAGACCAAATGCTACTGCAACAGCTGCCGGTGGGAACTGAAATCCATACAGTGCTTCCCTGACAACTGTTTGCCATTTTCCTTTTTTATTTTGTTTTACTGGAATTGGTCTCCTTCCAAAATAAGCTTTTCCCATTTAGGTGACCTCGCCTGTTTCTCTAGGTCCATGTTTTTCTAGTTCAAAATGTGCAGGCAGTTCCCCAGTCGCTATATCCTGCTGTTAGAACATACATTCATAAATAAGGTTTCCTCCACCCACAAGCACAATGCATTATTGCCGTGTTTTTTTTCGTCTCAGTAGTTTCAAAGTATCAATTAAAGGTGGGAGGAATTTTCTGGTGTGGTTTTTTTTTTTTAAACTATAATTCATAGGAGATGGTTCTCTAATAAAAATGCAGGAGACTTAAACAGATCTTCTATGTTATTCATAGAAACTGATTCGGCAATAAATGCCAATGCAGTAATATTAATAGATGCTCTTTTGGGCATCTACAAGTACTATTACAGTCAAGTTCCCCGTCTCCAAACAGTGCCAAAAGTCTGGTGGGTTTTGTGGAGCCCACTTCTCCAGGGAAAAATCTAAAGCTTCTGCAACTTGATTCTGGGCTTGCCAAAACGGAGATACTGTTGTGAAACGGTCTGAAGTGTGAACTGAAAGCACAATACTCGCTCTGTCCTCTTTTGCACAATCTCACTTTGCAGCGGGAGTATCTTTTGGCAGTTCACCTCAATTCAATTGCAAATGACACCAAGCCAACCGACCCCTAGCAAAATGACAAGGAGCATACAGAGGCACTCCTAATATTAAACGTAAGCGTTCTCACAGACAAAGATACTCTCCAGTAGCTATTTCAAATTACGGCCTGGCATACAGAGTTGATACAGAATGCTTGCAATACCTTCAAAGCACTCCCTGTGCTAGCTCTGGAAAGAAAGCCCAAACAGCATTAAAAGTTTGAGTATTTTCCAACCAGCGCAGACTCCCTTCTTTCTTGGATCGGCTGCAGCTGAAGCTAAGAGGAGTCCTCCCTCCATGGGAGAGGTCACGGGGTTGGCTGCCGGTTACACGGCACTGCTGAGCTCCACCATCTTTACCTCTGCAAGCTGATCATTTCCATTATTGCTTTTCACATCCTTTGGCTTCTGGCCATTTAAAATACGTCAGAATACCATCTCCATTCAGGAAGGTCTGTATTTTAAGAAGTTATTATTTCAGTTTGGAAGAATCTAATTACTGAAAACACTCCATGAACTGGTTGTTAGTTAGAAATACACAGTTCATCGCTGCATTTGATTTATTACCATTTACTTTCATCAATACCACCACAACAGACAGATTTTGCAAAAGTTAACCTGTTCGCAGGAATAAATACAGATCATTTGATATTCTGTACTTAAATGCTCATGGTAAATTTCCTTTGGAAAGAGCACTGGCTACCCCAGGTTTATATTTCCTCAGTCTTAAAATAACATCATATGATAAGAAAGAGATACCACCAGGTAGATTCAGAGTAATTCAAAATGCTGCTACTGCTGGAATAGCCTTGGTTGCACACGGCAGACTTTTACACCGGTGCGAAGTCTTCCTTTACAGTCAACCGAAAGAAACGCGTGCTGCTAGAGTGCAGTCCATCTCCTCCTCTATCGCACATCTACATGACCCAGGAATGTTTGTTTCCCCCCATTAACTGCAGAGAGAATTTAGGGGACTCATGCAGTAAAGATGTCTCTATTAGGGCATATGTAAACATAGCTGAGCAGAACCAGAGGGATGGATTTTATCTGAATGTTGTCTCAGTCCAACGCTCTTTTTAGGATGAGATTCATGTTACAGAACCTACTGCAAGCGACTACTGGGCTGCCTGTCCCTCTACACAGAGGTCTTAGGGACTGAGATTAGTAGCTCAGATGGCTACTGAAGAAAAAGGCTGAGACACTGAAAAGACAAGGAGAAAGTTATGAAATTAAATTTAACCTATAAGCCAGTGATGACTCAGTTCAAAACCTTAAGATGGAGCAGGGACAGCAGCCTGGAACTCCACGTAGCATCTAAGAAACAGTTCTTACAACCCCACCATCACCACCACGTGAGACCTGACCACAGAGGAGGACCGACACACACCGGCACTCTGCTCACTAACCTTCTGCGCTCCCTGGCTTCCTCAGCTGAGAAGTCCTTTCCTGTAGTTGAGGCAGCACCGGCATTGGCAATACCATTAGCAGAGCCGAGTATAGCACGATTTGTGATTACACCTAGAGGGGTGCTAGCAGAGATGCCCTCTGTATTTTTCTCTACAGCAGAATCAGTGTGTTGCCTGAAAGGGGCTCTGAAATAGAGAAGACATAATGGAAAGCAAAGCAAGTGAACTCAACTGCTGACCGAGACCAGCCACCTCAAGGGAGCATCGACAGTTCATTCTCCTCGTTCTAGACTTGTGTTTTTGTAGAGAACAGCACACATTAAAATGAGTTTTTAAAAACTTGTAGAAGAATAAGCAGGAGGAATTCATAGTCTTCACATCCTTGTTTGTAGCAAAAATGATTAGAAAATGTACCTGGCGAATAAGCAGAAGGAACGAACTCCAAGAGCTTGTACACTGAACGCCCAAGAGCAGCCTGAGCCACACATTGGGTCTCTAACAGGGTAGGAAGAGGGCACAATTGGCTACTCCAGTGAGCGAAGAAGCTAAGGTCACATACGGGCTGTTAATTGCCTGCTGGTGTATACGTACTCCTGAAACTGCCCAACATAACCATTCTGGGATTTCTTATCAGCGCTTCCTGAGTGGAAGCACACTTCCAATCCATAATCCACTCCAGAATTCAGAACTTCTAACCCAAATGTTGATTTTCTGCAGCATTATCTCAGCTGTGAGCCGTTACCTGGTATACTGGCGGGCTGATGCAGTAGTGTTCGCACCGAGAGATGTGGGACAGGAAGAGACAGGTTGCCACGGGGTGCTCAATGAGGTAGATGAACCAATGGTAGTGGGTGAGGTAGCTAGAGATGTATTGCGACTGGCTGAAATGTAGGGACTGCTGAAGTCACTACTTCTACCAAATGAAGCACTGTAAAACATCACAAAATCACGTCCTTCAGAGCACAGTAAATATTCAACAGAACATCACCACAGCTGGGCTCTCAGCTGGAAAGGGAGCAAGTATTAAATCTTAGCAAAACGTATGCAAGGAGATTAGAGGACACCGGAGTTGCTGCAGGTCGCTCGCACAGGCTAGCACTAGCACGACCCCTCTTAGCTAAGCCCAGATGAGTTTCAGTGCGATAATAACGGCGTGGAGGTGAATCGGTGAAGATCAGGGAAGGGGAAAAAACCTTACTGCAGTGAAAGCGGCACACGCAGAGCACCCCTGTGTACTGGGAAAAGGTAGAAACAATGAGCCAGGATGAGGTTGCTTAAAGCAGGGAAGGAGAGAGTGACATAAGCAGGTCTGGCTGCATCACCTCCTAAAGATGCCCAGGACTTCCAGTTTTAAGAACTTGTTTTCAGTGGCATAAAGCTTTGGCAAAGATGATCAGTTCAGGTTTTAATTTTCTTTAAGGCATGTTTGGCACAAACCCTGTATTTCTGGAAAATAGCTACCAAAACTGTCCAAAAACATTCAAGAATGAGCAAGGGAAATACATATTTTGCCAGTTTAAAACAAAACCCTTAAAACCATTATTACTGAAAAGCTGAAAGTGTTTAAGTGCTCATACTTTGGAGAAGAGACAGGAGAAAAGGACAAAGGCTCTCATACAAGGATGCTCCCTTTCATTCTTTCAGAGAAAATCTACCCTAAGTGGGAGAAGTTGCACACCTCTAAAACCAGACTTCATGAAATCTGGCAAAATCTCCTTATTGCATGTGCCAGAGCCCCATATACAGACTGCTTGTTGTCTGCACAGAGCAAACGAGCGTGCATGCATGATCTAGGACCCTGCCACGTCTTTCCCAGCAACTGGTATTGCTGGTTGCTACTGGTCAGACTGGGCTGTCTGCAGGATCAAAGGCTAGGAAGGCTGGAAGGCTGCCTCTCACCTCCTGCATCCTACTAACTCCCATGCCAGTGCACATGGTTGCACCAGGAATAAAAGCTGACCTAGAGGAAAAGCAGACCGGGACAAAGAGCTGCAGGTTTATGGGAAAGCCAGGGACAACATACTGGAACTGGAAGTCAACACTAGAGCAAGAGTCAGACAGAGCAGCTCAAGGTTGAAATACAACTTGAAAGGGGCAGGACAACAGCCAAGGACAGGAGGTCAGAGGAAGGATCCAGTCCAATTCACTTAGGCACCCAATTTACAAATCACTTTTATATGCCAAGGCCCCCAGCCAGCCCAGAACAAGCAGCTCGTCCCTACACAGCCAGAGGAGAGAATGTGGCATCCTGGAAGGCCTCCGTGGGGGAGGAACTTTACATTTGGGCTCTTCAGTTGATGGCTGCTTGCCATATCCAGGTCACAAAGGAACAAGCAAGTTATTGTCACCAGGTAGCAACCTCCACCAGACCCGAAACAACATTTCCTCTGGAAAGCCGGTCCCTGCCCGGAGCACGGGGGAGCGGGAAGTCCTGTTGGAAGCAAGTGCCTCCCTTCTCGGCTCCCTGCATCAGAGGAAAAGGCCAAGCCCTGGCGATGGGCTGGGAGGAGGGTGAGAGCAGGGAGCTAAGGCTGGCTGGTGTGGGTGTGCAGAGCAAGCGGCTGTGGAGTTGCAGAAATGAGTGTACTGAGGAGATGATGGTAGCGGAGCGTGCGCCAAGGGAAGGAACAAGAGGAGCGTCAGGGAAGAAGGTGGTGGCAACCCTGGGGGGAAGTAGGGTTGATGTGGCACCATCCTACGAGAGCCCAAGGCAGAGAGGCTGGGGCACGAGGGGTGGCTGCAAAAAAAAAAGAGAAGGAACTTGGTCAGGAAGGGAAGACACAGGAGGGTTACTAAGACCTGACAAGGACTGTCTTTCAGAAGGGAAAGGTAATGGGTGAAAAGGGGAGACAAGAGGATGGAAGCAGCACCAGGTGCCTGGGAGAGCAGAGATGTGGGGGAGCTGACAGGGGAAGGAGTGGGAGGAATGGAGGAAAATAGCATGGTGACAGCGTTGTGCTAACTACACACACACCCCCCCCGGCTTGGAGAAACGTGATGCTGGGGCACTACGCGCACACTCCTGCTCATGAGACAGGAGTCAAGGCATTGCCAGCTCTACAGGAATTCCCCTCCCTATTCTGTCACCTTGCATGGGTGGCACTGCAGGGTTTGAGGAGGACTCAAAGGCATTTATTCAGTTGTTCACGTTTAATCTGAACAGGACCAGAAAACTGCAAGAAAAAGGTTAGCTAGGGAATCTTGTTAATTAACAGATGAGTTCATATGAATCTGTAAAAGGGAGGATTATGAATTTATGCTGAAGAATTCAACATCAGAAATAAAAAAAGGCACTGACACGCTCCTACTTGTTCTCTAACATAACCA